GATATCTACTGTCAAGACGCTGGATTCAATGGGCCATTCATAACCCAACTTAACTCTGGACCTAAGCACAATGGACAAATGGAAAAAGTATAGAACTAAGATCGCAGATAAATAGTTTATATATAAACCCCAAAAAAAGGTTTTCTTACCTCATCTACCAAAGATTTTATTTCAGAGGTGGTATCTTTCTTCAACTGTTTCTTTGTCTTCATTCTAAGTTCTTCTGCTACAGTTGAAGAAAAGAAGGTTGTCACGGCAGAAAGAAAATAAAAGGTAAACTAAATATGTCACCACAAGAAGGTCTTAATATATAATTTCAGTATAAACTATGAACTCTCACCTTTCGCAGCACAGACTTGTGTGAGAATATAGTCTCTTTCTTAATCATTCAGAAGTAGTTGTTACGCTTTTGCATGTTGTTCAACCAAACTTGTACACACAAAACATAACCAATTAAATGTTGAAGAACATATAATTCAAAGTATTAGCCTTTGTAGAAAAATGATCTCAACTTCAGTGAATCTATTGGTAGTGCAGATTCAAGCAATGAGCTATCCTCTAGAAATATATGCCATCATAATAGCAAGATAAGTGAAGGTCATAATTACCTGGGACGAAAATACGTATTAAATTTGAAGACATAGTCCATGGATTATCTTAGCATTTTAGATTTCTAAACACAGAACTTGAGAATTTCATATACATTATATTGGAAGTCTAAATCAAAATATCATGTGTAGTGGAGGACCGTGGATGTATATATATAGGATCGGCGGCTGTCCGTGGCAATGATGGAGCCATAAAACCGATCGAGGATCGTGACTTTAGGCGTTAAGATGGATGGAAGTGGGACCAAATTAGTGAAGTAACGGTGAAATAAGAAGTTGAGGCGTCGAGATTGGTCGGCACTTGAGAGGAACGGTGAACTGAGAAGTTGAGTCGTCGAAATTAGGGTTCTTGTCGAAGATCGGGTCGCGACACTTGAGAGGAGATGTGGGATTCGTTTTTAAGGTTTAATGAAGTGAGCATTAGTTAGTAAAGTAAGTATATTATGTGGGCCTTATTTTTTAATGGGCCACGATTTTCTTTGATTAATTAGGGGAGTAAAATTTAATAATAAAGGTTTTTAAAACATCTGTAATCTTCTAATTTGTGGATTATATTCAGCTTTATTTTTGCTGATGTGGCATCCTTTAGAGGCAAGGATTTCTTTCCCCTTTATATAAAGGAGATTTTCAAATTTAACGAGTAAGTTTGAGCGCACATATTACTTCTAATATTGAGTAATGATTTGCAAATATTATTTGAATTTGAAATAGTTTGCATATTTTTAAGTAGTTTTTGTTTAAGCCAACATCCATGAATTAGTATGCAATAAGGAAAACGTAAAAACATATGTAAGCTTATTAGTGCCATTAAAAAACGAAATGCTCAAAACCCTAAAAACGATAATTTGTTTTCCGTGTTTGTTAATATCCAAATTAGATAAGCAAATATTGAATTTCATATTACATTTAAATATATACTAAAGCGTGCGCAAAC